TAAGACTCCGAAACTCTGGTAAAAATGAATCCAGATCGAGTTCAAACAGTTTAATTACGAGACTCTAAAAGATAAAAAATGCTCGAACCACTCTGAGCCCTTTAGCTCAGTTGTAGAATTGTATTTTTTGTTTCTAAGATATGCAGCTCTTCGGTGAATCTGACAGTGGTTTGTGTCTTTTAACTTGAATTCACAAGCTCTCTGACTCTGCTGGTAAAATCAAATGCAGGAATTACCATGCATCTTTATTTGAAAATTTGGGACGAAAATTGTTCGAGTTCAAGACAGAATCATAAATAACAAATTTATCATGTCCATTCACTTGATTTTTCCAGCAACTCTGAAACAAGCACAATAACTTATGTGCAGACCAACTTAGCAGAAATTATATGGATCACTAAAAGTTCGACCAGGAGACAAACAAGTTCACTGCAATTTCTAGATATGCCACACTTTTGGAAAGACACAAATAGAAAATATGTGACAAGCCCAAGAAGTTAAAAAGGAAAAAAGGAAAGATTTCGATCTACTAGTGCCTCCTGAGCCACAGGCATGACTCGCACATTTCACAACCAGACGAAACATGAAGCAAAATCATTCTCTTATGTCACATGATGTCTGATTGGAGCAATAGTTTTAATGATCCCAACTTTTCATTTCCATGCCTTCAGGTGGGCTACCCTCGACCTTCTTGGAACCAACTTCTTTCCAGTTTGTTGACAGCACTGTGCCATTCGATTCCACCTGCAAAACCACACCACGAATTAAGATGCAAGGGCACAGAGCGAAGTAATGTGGTCATCTGATTTGAGCCTTTGTAAGCTTATAAGCTAGTTATGAGATGAGAACAGATCATGTATGTGTTAGCTGGCTTCTTTTTTGGTATAAATATCATTGGCTTATAAACTAAAACTTAATCCTAAAATAAGCTAGTATGAGTTGCTTCTTTTGTAGACTGCTTTGTGACTCATAAACCAAGACTTCTACCCAATTTTCTTCTTCAATTTTTTTCCTGATAAAAGAAAACCACCCTCAGGAAAAACCCACTAAAATGATTATTACGGTGCCATTTTACAGTAAATAATTACAGAAGCCCAAAATCTTACAAAGGACTTGCTCATGGCTCTTCTTGCGTCCTCGTCAGCATCCCGATAAATGTCCTGGAAAAATTTGTTTAAAGCTGCATCACCATCTAACTTTTCTTCTTTCTCCTGAAAGTAGAACCAACAAAGTGTCATGCCTTGATCTAAAATCATAATGTAAGCCTTCCGTTTCTAAAAATGTACTTGTGAATCCAGTATCCAGCAAAAATCAATAGTTTTCAGACAGAGAAACAGACCTCCTTTTTCACTTGAGCTTCAAGTTTATCCCAATCAACCCTTTTGGGTTTTGAAGATGGGTAGGTTGGCCTCTGAGCTGCAGTAACTGCAAAGCTTTTCACTTTAAGTACGTGTAAAAGAAATCTACAAGCCAAATAAAAAATCCTGAAAGAAAAAAATACTTGACAGCAGACAATGTCTGAAGGCCTCAACCGGGATGAATATTAACCTACCAGAGGACACATTAACCCTTTGTACAACTGCATTTTCCTGGCTGAATTCAAGAGAATTCCAGTGAATACGCTCGGCTTTTGCAAGGCGAACTTCAATTTTGGTGGATAAGACAACATGTCGGCAACGATCAGGTATAATCTGTATTTGCAAAAAATGACAAACATATAGAGTTAAAACTTTATTCAAAATTCTATGAACAAAAGGAAATCAGTAGCTAGCAAATCTACTCTTCTCTCGCCCTACAACAGAATATGAAAAAAGAAAGCGGGCGATTCCTTTGTTCGTTATGAAATGTGTGAAATATTTGACTATATTCCCAAGTAAGCAAACACTATTTGTAGTAATTGTTTTACATATTAGTCCCACAAACAGAACTTTTATCATGAGTTTCCAGAAAATACCTTTCCAAACAAACGAGGTTGAAAATGATAAACTTCCTGACCAGGAGTGTCAATACTAATGCTTAGCTGCAAAGCAAATTAACAACAGAAGATAAAACATTCAATCCGCTTATTTGCACATTTATTTAGACAAATTATGAAGCATGTCGAACGACAAGTGAAAGTGTTAAATTGAATGCACATCATACAATTTGTTCACCATAGTCAACAGAGACACTATTAGCTGGTACTCCCTTGGCAAATATTGTCACAACGACTTCCTCCGGTTTCTGATAAAACTCATGCCTGCAAAAGTATTTATTACTAGAGTAACTGTGGATTTCTGTCAGGCAAAAACACACTTGTTTTCCAGCCATTAACATCAGTTCAAACAGATGAACTAAAAATAACACAATAGTGCTCGTCCATTGATAAAATGTATGAAACACTATCTTTTATTAACTACTTCATGCGAACAAAAAATATACTGAAGACCAAGCAAGCGTCAAAACTTTATACCAACCTATACTTTGGTTTGGCCGATGTTGCCACTGTAATCTGATTGGGCTCATTCACTGGCTCATCTTTTACAGGCATGACATTCATTGGCACATTTTCAGATGACTGCTTTGGCAAATTACCTGTTTCCTCTGGAAAGAAACTCAAAGCACCAATAAGAAAAAAAGATTTAGTTCCATATTTTTATTTCAAAATAAAAAAGAAAAAAGATTTAGTTCAGATACACAAGATCTTTTCTTCTGAAAAATCAGAGACATATTACATTCCCTCTCAAAAATCTTCCGAGCATTTTACCAATGAGAGTGTAAACCAGTTTCATATCTTACAGAAAGAAATATGCTTTGATTCCAGA